TGTTGTTAATTTTCTGTGTTTGACCAAATCTAGATTCGTCTGCCCCCTGAAGTCAACAGAATTTTGTACATCAGAAATTTGCCGTATAAAATCACAGCTGAAGAAATGTATGATATTTTTGGAAAATATGGACCCATTCGACAAATCAGAGTGTAAGTCTATGGAGTATTCCAAAACTGAGGTTTCTGTGTAAAATAACACAAGGTACAAGCTGAAACCAAGTTTGTAGTCAGGGAAGGTACAGAATGGTGGAAGACCAGTGTATATCATAAGCCATACAAAGCTAGAATTTAAGTGGGGTATTTCACAGTACAAATTTCAGAATGAGAAGATTGGGGTTGCACAGAGAAGCCTTAGCTTTTTTCTTAGGTTATTTAAGCGTCACTAGATCTGTAACATAGAAAAATACCATAAAGGAACTGTGCTTTAAAATTACTCTGGAAGTATTTCTTAGAAAACAAGAGAATTTGGAGAATTTCTGGAATTTGGGGGGGGGCAGTCAAAGTCTTTGACAATTAAAATGACATTATGGAATCACATAACACCATGGTACATCATTAAGAACTGAGTCAAAGACATTATGCATATGATAGAGTGACAACAGAATAGCTGTTGTGCTGTTGTTTTAACCACTCCTCATTTGCAGGAAGATTGTACCCTTTTCAGTTGTTAGCAACTGTGCTTTTTGGGAGTACCATGCCAGATTGTGCTGTTCAGACTGTCCTTTGACGTATGCTTATGCAAATAGATGGAATTACAACATTTGTTGTACTTGATCTGTAAAGCACATGGAGGCGCCCCCCCGCCCCCCCCTGCGCAGCTGATTTTTTTTTGTCTTGCCTTTTGTGCCTCTTGAGCCTTGTAACTCACATTGGCAATATGCTGAAAAAATGCAGTTTTGCTCCCCAGCAATCTTGGTGCAGTTGGTCACTTCATTGTTTTGCGTTACTTGATGCTTCTTTCTTGATTGATAAATTTTGCTAGGTATCTGTTCTTGGCATTCATAGAGGACGCACAGTAACTTCTGATTTGTGCAGGTAATTTTAGGTACATTTAATCTAAGCAATTCCCATGAAGTTCATTGATGCTTACTCGCAAGTAGCCATGCATTGGATTGTGGCCCTAATGTTGTTAACATCATCTACAGCGTGCTTGAAACTCAAGGAGGATTACAGATATAAAAATACATTCAAACGAACCACAAAGACTTCCAATAAACAATGCAATAGGACTAGGATTACGGAAGTGTGGGGGGGAAGCCCTTTAAACCCACATCCTATCTAATGCAAGAAAAATTGCGTGAGACATTACATGCCATGAAATCAGAATATCAGCATGTAACGATTTCATGTTTTTGTGTGTGGGTGTCTTTAAAAGTAGTTTGCATGGCTGTGTGGGACAATCTAGAATGCTGAAACGCAAGTGGTGTGATTGGTGAGTGACAGAGAGGGGGAGGGGGTTTGGAATTGATGCTGTGTGGAAGATATGTATGTCAGACAAGAGTGTCTGTTAGGTATGACAGTTAAGGTTTAACAGTTAGTCAGTCAGAGCAGAGTGTGCTGTGTAAAAGCAGTTGATATGAGTTTTGTCCTGAGGTCTCTGTGTGAGAAGTTCCTGTGTGAAATATAAGAGTAAAAGTCTCTGTGTTAAGCAGATGGTTAAGTTCTGTGTTATAGGAGTTACAATTGAAAGCTGAGAGTCTAAGAAGAGTACAGTGAAAAGTGTTACAAGGTTGCTTTAACCTCCCTGTCAGTAAAAGTGAGGCTTGTGAGAGACACCAAGCATGGTTCAAATCATTCCCAGTACTGTTTACATTGTTTACCCTCGTATTTATGTTTACTTTCAATAAATCCTAATTCCTTCAAGTATCAGCAAATAATCCTTCCTCAGACCACATAGTTCCTTGAAAGGCCTAGACCCCGTGCTACAATACCAACCCCAGAAGCAAAGAAAAGAATTGGAATTTATTAAAATTCCTGGTGGCAGCCAGAATACCCAAAGAAAAATAAACCATAAGAACTTTTAAAGTAAAACTAGACCTCCCCAGATAAGAGGTCGTCACACAGCACTTAAAAAAAATTCATTTAATGTTGTATTGCTGACACATTTCCTTATGTCATTTCTGAATGCCAGTGGATTTTGTACTTTTATCCTCAATAAATATTAAAACTGTGCTTACCCTACAGAGGAAACACTCCTGAGACTAGAGGGACAGCTTACGTTGTCTATGAAGATATCTTTGATGCCAAAAATGCTTGTGATCACCTGTCAGGGTTCAATGTGTGCAACCGATATCTTGTGGTCTTGTATTATAACGCAAACAGGGCAAGTATATTGCTTTTTCTTAAACAATTTAGCAGTTGTTACCACGTAAAGATAAACTTTTAATTTCATTTGTACAAAGGCATTGTGAGAATTGTACTGGAATGACTGAAGGTAACAGGGCCTCTCTTGTGCTTTCCGTGTAATTCAAATGACCGATAACAGGTTTTGAAGCGCTCTGTGATAATATGCCTGCTGGTCCCAATAGAATGAATCGTGGGCACATGAAATCAGTATATATGAGGAATCTTATGTATTTTGAGTTTGTCCACACTTTTTGGACCGCTGGGGAGCATCAGGAAGAAGGGAGGCCTGACAGAACCTTTGTTTTGGTCAGCTTATAGAATTAAGAGTTCCTTTGCGTACAAATTCCATCTGCTTTAGTTGGACTTACAAGAAACACGGACGCAAGATCCACATTACCATAGCCCTCTTCTGTGGAGCTTGAGGCAAGATATTATATATTCACAAGAGGTCTTGTACCCTGGTGCTGACCAATCCCTGTGCCGCTTAGCTTCAGCAGGGTGGCTAATGAGCTTCTGGACTCCTCCAATGTTTGATTATAACACACTACGTTCATTAATTTGCCCTGCTCGACTGTGTAAATGAGGATTACATTGTGAATATAATGGGTCCCGAGATCCATAGGCACAAGGAAATTTTATCCCTGGGGTTGCAGGACCTACGGGGTCAAATAGACCCATGGCTGCTGTGACCCCAGGAATAAATTTTTTCCTGGTCAGAAAAAAGTGCTGGGGGGGAAGGGAATACATGAAAGATTGGCAGCCATCGATTCCTTCCCACTGACAGGTCACAGTATCCAGCCCTTAGCATTTCCTGCTTAAACCAGAATTGATTTAAGATATGTTGAAATGAGCGCCTGGAAACCGTATCGAACTCACTTGAGCCAAATCAGATCTGGATACAGCTGAGCTTGACTTAGAATCAAACTAAAACTGTGAACGTGTT